GCTTGTTCCTCGTCCCTGTAAACCGTAAGCTGTGATTTAGAGGTTTATTCTGCCCTTTCTATATGAGCGGATGTATTTAAAGCAGTCGCCTTCTGTAGGGCCAGCGTAGTCGTTGCCTGCAGCCGTGGGTTGCGTCCTGGGCCGCTGGAAGCTGCCTGCTGCGCATCACAAGGTACGGAGCGCTCAGGAGGCTCTAAAGTTTTGACATGCTGTATGCCATAGGTTTTTAATCTGTTGAAGCTGGAAACCTCCAGGATTGCTTAAAGCGCCTTTTTTGCCCTGTTCTGGGCAGTCCTGTTCCTCAAGGACTGTTAAATGTGTGTGTGAAATTAAGATAAGGCCCCCGCCCCCAGCCCGGTGTCCACCCCGGATCCAGCCCTTGGGCCTCTCCCTGGCGCGGCAGAAAGCAGCCTGGTCCCAGCCGGCGGGAATCTTTGTCGGTGTGATAAAGGAGGGCGCCTGCTCGCTGTTTTCACCGAGCTCTGGCCAGCCAAGTGCTTGGGTGGTTGAGCAAGCCTAAGTCATTGTGGTCTAAAGCCAGAGATACTTAAAAGGAAGATGGCTGGTACACAAAAACTTTCATTTTAAATAAATTCCACCTGCTACTGGAAAATAGAGGGAAAAAGTATCCTCTCCTGTCATCCTCCTAAGAGCTTGCCTGTGTATTCTTTGACAGTAACTCCTAGCCTTTATGCTGACTGAAGGCAGATGTAATGTCATGTCTTTGAGGACTATGGTAGCTTCCTACTTTCTTTAGATTGCATCTCAAGGGATTGAAGCAGGCTGGTGTTGCTGTTGATGTAGTTTGGGCTCTGACTGAAGCCTCTTCCCTTACACTGTGCTGACATGTCTGGGATCTGCTGGGGTATCTTATTTGTGAGCCTTTTGGGAAAGGTCACAACCTACTGTTCTGAGAGGAAGCTGTGACTTTGGAACTTTTTTCTTTTTTCCCCCCGGCCAAACTAGCCCAACAGCTTATGTATTTTTTGAGGTTTTCAGCCTCCTGCCTGGGAAAGGTGATTTTTTAATGCGATTAATACATGTGCTTACTAGTGTTACTATCTGTTGTAGTTGCTTAGCTTGCATTGCATAGGTATGCAAGGCCAACTGTGAGGTGCTATAACCTCTTAGATATGTATATATATACCTCTTGGATGTATATATATATCTCTTGGATGTATATATATACTATAACTTGGATGTATGCATCCAAGATCTTTCACTCCTTACCTGTTTGGCATCGTGGGCTGTGTTAGCACTAATTCCTACCAGAGTAGCTCAGACAAGGCGCAGAGTTGTCCCATTCTGAACTTGTTTGCAGTTTCCAGGAGAGAGGGTTCCACAGAACATAGAGCCAGAGGAACAGTGGGTCAAAATCCACTTCACACCTGACTGCAGGCCACTGAGTTAAATTTGGTACAGCATATCCATAAGGTATGCTCCTAAAAGATAGGATACTATTGTGATGCTTCTGTAGTGCAGATTTTCTTCAGACTCTGTCAGGAATGCAATCTTTTATAAAATATTAGTGCAGACAGGTTTCTCAAAACTGTCACTTCACTGCATGTTCTGTTCCCCTCCTCCCTCCATGTAATTGCTCACCCAGCACCACCAATAACAAGAGTTGAAAGAGCCTCAATCTGGAATGCTCGCAATGCTGAAAGCTACTTTTTTTTTTTTTTTTTTTCCCTCCTTCTCATATACTGTGGAAGCAAACTCCACTAGGTCATGTCCTCAGTAGGAGAGACAAGGCAGTGTTTAATGTCAAAAAGTTGTCACTAGTCTGGAAAAACAGAAATCCTGTGTATGTCTCTATTCAAATCTTTAAGGAAAGCAGGTATGTTTGGTTTTGGGTTGGTTTTTTTTTTTTCTTTTTTAAAAGTATGGCTTGCAGTCTCCTTGCAAAACTAGTCTCTGAACTGGAAAGAAACTGAATTATGCCATTAATAGTAGCTATTTCTTACTGTCACATTAATGCTCATCTTGTGGGAACTTTGTGCTGCCTGTCTCTAGAAAATAATCCCCATTTATTAAAACAAGTCGGTGCTCTGTGATTAAGTCACAGAGCACAGAGGTTCATGCTGTGCGTGGCACTTACCCTTCCTCTCTGTCTCCCCCCTTCTTCTCTCTGCTGGTGTCAGGTTTGCCACTGGTGCAGAAATGGGCGAGTACGGAGTTGCGCCAGGCCAGCGTGTGGCCATCATCTGGGACAGCTCCTCGCCGACTGAAGCCCTGAAGGATTTGGTGGATAAAATTCAGGTGCTGGTGGGAGCTGATAATCGTGTCTCTGTGGAAAACATTAACCAGCTGTCTCAGTGTAAGAATAAGCTTAATTTTTCACTGTTTCATTTAAAGGGAGAGGGTGCTTCTGTTGTGTGAGCTGACATCTTCCCTGGTTTGTAAGTCAGCATTCAGAACAATAGCACCTACTGCACTGGCAATAGAGCAAAGAAAGTGATACACCCTGGTTGTGCTTCCTATGACTGGTGTCTAATCAGTTATTGTTGTTATATGCTAGCATGAGAGATGAGGAGGGAGGTGGAACTGAGGTATTAAGCAAAGCTCTGTGTGTATACATGTAAAATTGTACTGTCTTTCTCTTTCTTTCTTTTCAGCGGCTCACAGGGAGTCCAGTTTCGATGTAATTCTCTCTGGTGTGGTACCGGGTAGTACAGTGCAGCACAGTGCGGAGGTGCTGGCAGAAATAGCTCGGATACTTAAGCCGGGGGGGCGTGTCCTCCTGAAAGAACCAGTGGTTACAGAATCAGGTGAGAGAATCCGCATCAGCCTTGCTTTCATAGCAACACAGCAATTCTTGTGAGGATTAGGCTGAAATGGAAAGGACAAGAGCCCCGACTGACATTCCGAGATTTTCCTTCTCCTGACACAGTAACCTGAATAGCAAGGTTTTTATCCTGTGTTTCAGCTGGTAGCCATCAGAGATGTTTGCAGTCACTCACCTATCAAAAGTGCTGGATAGGCTTGTTCCTAGACTATGTTGAAAAGCTCAGTGGACAGTGGTTTTCTCCTAGGGTGCGTAATGTTAAATAGTTGCAGATGTTGTGTTTCCGAGGAGCTTCTGAAGCGATTTTAAAAACAGGTGGCAAATGCCAAGAGAAGCTGTCCCAAAAGCCAGCTGAGAAATAGTTATCCAGAAAAGGTAGAAGTGTTTGGACTAAGTTTTAAGAGTAAAGCCAGAGCACCTGCCATGGGACAGCTCGAGGGACACACAAGGAAGTGAACACAATATTATATCTCTGTCTTATACTTGACTGCATTCAAACTTTGCTGGCACAGGGAGATGGTTCAGGGTGGAAGTGGGAAATAATATGCCACCTGATAAGAACAGAAGCATGTATGCTGACAGTGTTTCTGTTGGCACAATCTACAGTGCTGAAAATGGTGATGTAAGCAGCAGCAGAAATGCCTTCAAAGCATTGGCAAATGTTCCCAACCTGAAGAAGCTGGCAGTGGCTCTGTGGTGCAGGGGGGAACATTTCTGGGACAGAAAAAGAACATGCAAAGTCTGGAGTAAATGAGGTTTCTTTTTTTCCAAAGTCAGATCTGACAGGCTGGAATTTGGTGGACTTGGAATAAAGTGCAAGTGAGAGAGAGCGAATGGATTCTGTTCAGCACAATCCTGTGCCCAAGTGAAGAAGCCTGTAATGAGTTTTTGATTAAGCAGTGATTGCCTACAGGAACAAGGCTCTTGAATGTTATGTTTCTGAATGTAATGTTAATTTAGGAGTCTGTGTTTTGAAAACTTCATGAGTTATTCACTTTAATATATGAAAATGTTTTGGAAGATTTTGTTGTTTGGGTTTTGGGGTGGGTTTTTTTTTCTTTTCTTCAGTGGGTGTAAATTGGGTTGAGGAAGGTTCTATCATGTAGAAAAGATTTGGAGCTAGAATGGCTTTGTGACCCCAGGCTGTTATTTTAATGAACAAGCTGCTTACGCTCTTTCTGGTTTGTTCCTGCTGTCAAGTAGAAAGGGCCCAATTTTAAAGCAGAGGTTTGGCTTGAGTACTATCTTCTAAAGCTCTTGCTTTTCCAGGTTTCTGAGTGACCTCTATTCTTGTTCTTCCCTCCTCCTACTTCCTGCTTTTGTATCTTCCAGGAAACAACAGCACAATCAAGATGGCAGCCAAACTCCCCACAGCTCTGACTCTTTCTGGGTTGGTGGAAGTGAAGGAGGTATGTATGTACTAACCGCTTCCAGAAACTCCCTCATGCAGTTACCTTGAAATGTAGATGGCAATTCCTGGGGACTTGCTGGGTGACAAGGTGTTTAGCTACCCTGGTTTACTGTAAATGTGCATGGACACTGCCTGCCACAAACTTTAGTTACTGCAAAAGTAGTATTTTTCTTTAGAATTGAAAATACCAATTGTCTGAGTTCACTGGAATGCTGGACTGGGTGCTGAAATAGGGGTTCTGCATGAGGTTAACCTAAAATCTTACATTGCAGCTGCAAAAGGAAGCATTGACTCTGGAGGAGGCCCAGTCGGTCCGAGAGCATTTGGGTTACCAAGGCAATGACCTTCTCATTGTTCAGATAGAAGGCAGGAAGCCCAATTTTGAAGTGGGGTCCTCAAGTCAGCTCAAACTTTCCTTTGCCAAGAAACCTGGTCCTTCAGGTAAGGAGTGGTGAGTGCTAAATGTCTGGATTCCCTGCCACCTGCCTCTCAGGTGCCAAGCATCCCTTGGAATAGGGAGACAGCTCCAGGGCAGGGAGTAATACAGTAAAAACCTGTGAAGTGGGGCTTTCCAAAGTTGTTTGAACTCTTATTTGTTGGGAGTAGATGGGGCAAAGGCTGGAGTAACTACTATTTCTTCCTTTGTTTTGGCTCCAGGAAAACCCTCTGTGGACCCAGCCGCTGCCAAGCTGTGGACACTCTCTGCCAATGATATGAATGATGAAGAGATGGTATCTGGTCTTGTTTTCGAGGCTTTGCTGTTGTTCCTTCTCTCTCCTTTTCTTTCCTGCTCTAAATAGTTTTAGTCATGCCTCTTGGGAAGCTTTACAACTTAAGAGGTAGAATAGCATCCCCAGGGCAAAATAGCTCATCTGCTATGTGAGGTCTTGAGAGCCCAGAGGTTTGGTGAGGGCAGAGAGGAGACACGGATAAGAGGGCACAGCTGCAGCACTTCAGTGCTAGTGCTACAGATAGCACCGTTTCTCTGAACATAACACAGCAATGTCATTCCCTACTGACAGATCATTTTCCTGCATGTTATCTTCCATGGTATGTTTTCAGGATCTTTTGGACTCCGATGAGCTGTTGGATTCAGAGGATTTGAAAAAGCCAGATCCATCATCCCTCAGAGCTCCATCCTGCAAAGAAATGGGCAAAAAGAAAGCCTGCAAGAACTGGTCAGTGCTGCGATTACCATATCGGTGAACCTTTTAACTGTAACATTAAACCCTTAGGGTTGGATGGATTTTAAAAAGATTGTAGACACTTTGCTATACTTCAGAGCGTAATTCTCTTGGTTCCTGTCCTTTCTTATCTTAACTATTTGAATGTAAATCCAAATACAATGAGAATTGACTAGCCACACCAAAACTGCTACAAATTACCACACTGATATGATCAACAGTCTTGAAGGTGGCTACACAGTTTGTCCAGCCTTGACTAAACCCCTGGTTTCTCAGATTTCAAGGAGAAATAGCACACATAGCAAGTGCTGTAGAGTCATTTCCCACTCAGTTTAGACTTGAGGAGCATGTTTCAACACTTGTTCAACACCATGGTTTGTATAACAAAATGAAGAGTGTGAGAGTCCCAGAGTTAGCTGTGTTGTGTGACAGAGCGAGGGCTGTTGCGTGTGAGTAGGGCTGTAACAAGTGTCGGTGACTCACAGCCTTTAAGCAGAAAGATGCAGGTGTCGTCTTTATTTTTCTACAGCACATGTGGTCTGGCTGAAGAGCTGGAACAGGAGAAGAGCTCACAGCCCAAATCTGCCTGTGGAAATGTAAATAGTCATTTTTGTTTCTATACTTTGGTTTGCAGTACATGATTTGTGTCTAAGAACTGTGTTCTCTAGTGAGAACTCTAAGCTGGCTTACTGCTTCCAAACACTGCTTGTGCAGCTTCTGCAGAGCTTCAGCCTGTTGCTCTATGCCCACATGCTCTCTACCAGTGCATGCTGTCTGTTCCAGCGCAAGTGCCACCCCGTAGGAGTCAGAGTGAACAGTGAACCTTTACCTCCCTGCTCATGTGCTAACCAGTGATCTGCTCAGGGAAGATCACCTTATGGGAGCACAGGGGGACCTGGCTGTGGTTAGTGGGCTGCCGAAGGCCAGCATGCAGCCATGCCCAAGCACACTGGCTGGGGTGGAAACTCACCTCTTCCATGTGAGCGCAGTGCCCTGCACAGCTCTAACTGCGCTAACCAGATGTGTCGAGGGGGAGTAGAAGGGAAGCGGTTTCTGTGCTGATACATGCTGAGGAGCATGTCATCTCTTAAGCCCCTGATTACAGAACGTGCCTTTCTTTTGCCAGTGCTACCTGGGGGATGCGTTCCGCTGTGCTAGCTGCCCTTACCTGGGGATGCCTGCCTTCAAGCCTGGGGAGAAGATTCTCCTGAAAGAGAACCAGCTGCATGATGCCTAACAAAGATGTCTGTGGACGTTCTGCAAAGGCCTACTCTGCTTTTCCATCAGTCTGAGGTTCTTCCTGCAGTCGTCCTCATCCTCTCAAACTCATGTTCTCTGGCCAATAGTCCTTGTGGGGAGGGACACTGTGGGCACTGACACTGCTGTGAGCTCATCACTTGTAATCAACCTTGGGCTACCTGATAATCTTTGGTGACAAGTGGTCTCATGTATTAGACTTCATGTTATGCCTTGTTTTAGCTGGCTTGGCTTGATACTGGGATGCTGGCCATCACAGCATATCCCACCAGCAGAGGGAAGTATAATCAAGTGTCAGGTTGACATTATGTAGTTGTGGCAGGACTGGTACTTCCCCATGCCCATGTTGTACAGCTCTAATTTGCCCTGATTTTCCCTGATGAATCAGCAGCTCTGGCTCGGCTGTCAAGGTGACACTGGGCTCCTGTTCTCTTTGAAATTTCAGCCTGCAGTTCCTTACCACATGAAGGTGGCTCAGCAGCTCCTGTTGCAAGTCAGGAGCCGTGAGTACACTTAGCAGTATGTATTCTTAGCAGCATACATGAACTCCTTGGTAAAATCTGGCAGGCATGATGAATTTCCAAGTGTTTTGGGAGCCTGCCAATGATATCCCCTGGCCCCACCTGTTTCCATCAAAATGACAAAGATTCAGTCCTACTGAGAAAACTGCCCTTAAGGCAGGGAGCAGATTAAACAAGATCTTTGTCATCCCACACTCTTCTGTCCAACTTGAACTGATAACACAAGGGCAATCTGAGACTGTCGCCTCTCTTGGTGGTTACCAAGTAAGTTACCTGCAGTGTCCAATAAATAAGAACGTAGCAATAACTTAATTTCTGGATGATCTGTGGTCACCATCTGCTCCCGCTCCACAAGATACTGACAACTCTTATTGCGTAATTACTGCTAGAGAAGCATCTGTGCAGATGTGGGAGCTGTTCATGTTCTGTGCCAGGCTTGCTTCTCACTGAGGGAGGGAGAAGATGAAAACCCACAGCCAGTGTCTCAATGGGGCTTGCTTTGGACCTCTTGCTCTACAGGATGTGACTGCTTCTTGTGCTATGTGAGTTACACACTCAACTTATGGAGGGAGCTGGGATGAAAGGCTGTTCTGTTCTTGAAATAAAAGTGAAATAAAGCATTTAAGACTGGTTATTAGTGGCATTCTAAGCGCAACTCTCCTTTTACTCAGCCTCTCAGTGATTTCTGGAACCTTGGGTTGCATCTTGGAGTTCTCCATAAATTGTTCTACTGAAAACATGACTCGAATACATGATGCCCACTGGAAAGAACAGAATCAAACTGCCTAGACTAACTTTCTTATTTGGTCTAGATTTCAGAAAGAGGCTTTCATCTGGTTGAGTAAGGAGAAGAAGGCTTGCAGAGAGAGAAGGGAGGGAGTCCTCGAGGTGTGCAAAGCACCCTGTGTGGATCAAGGGGTAGGCACTGCGGTGTGAGCTGTGTAGTACTTGGTACTTGCCTGGGAGCCAGAGGGGAAGATGAGGGACTGGTGGCAACAGAGGCCTCTGAGAGCTTGTATGTAGAGGGATGGCTGCCCTCCAGCAAGGGCATGGCTTTCCCAGACTCCTTCCTTACCCACCTCCTGAGTCCTTGCCTCTGTCATCAGCAAGAACAACTTCCAAGGAGACACAAATCTTGTGATAAACCTCCTGTCCAACAAATGTGTTAGCACTCTTATGTTGTGATCTAAAGAAATGGGTAAAAGCTTCTGCATATCTGTGACCTTTTCAGTTTTATTATCTTTTTTCAGCCTCACTGGTAGCAGAAGATCAGATCTCTGCATGTCTCCATGTGAAAGGTTTCTGATAAAGGCAGCTCTTAACCTGAACTCTGCTTTCCTTTCAGGAGTAAATAAGAGAAGGAGGAGGCAGCAGCAGAAGCTTTTGCTTTACAGTGGTTCACTGAACTGGAATTTAAACAAGCTAGAAGCATTTTCAGATACTGCTGAGTTCAGTTAATGATAGTTAAGACTGTATAATTTTGTTCTCTTTAAACAGTGTCACTTGTTCTTGCTGTCCGTTGTTCTTGCTGTCCGAGAGGCCCTCAAAGGGTGACAGTTTGGCAGTGGAGCATCAGCTGGGTGGGAATACACTCCTATTGGGCTGGTTTTGAGATTTATCCTTTTAGCCCCCTTCCCTTGTCTGCTACAGTCTCCAGTCACCCTGCCTGCCCTCCTCTCCTCTCTAGTCCCCACCCCTAGTCCTTATTTCTGGCTGCCCACCCTGCACCTGAGAGGGCAGCCTTTGTCCCTAGGGGGTGAGCAAGCTGAGGCTGTGCCTAGAATAGAATAGAGTATTTCAGTTGGAAGGGACCTACAATGATCATCTGGTCCAACTGCCTGACCAATTCAGGGCTGACCAAAAGTTAAAGCATGTTGTTAAGGGCATTGTCCAAATGCCTCTTAAACACTGACAGGCTTGGGGCATCAACCACCTCTCCAGGAAGCCAGGTTTGACCAGCCTCTTGGTAAAGAAATGCTTCCTGATGTCCAGTCTAAATGTCCCCTGGCGCAGCTTTGAACCATTCCTAGGCATTCTGTCACTGGATACCAGGGAGAAGAGATCAGCACTTCCCTTCCTTGCAGCTGGGATGGTGGGACGGGGGCTAAAAGGACAAACTGAAGGAGGATTAACCGAACTCAGCAGATGTGGTTCAGGTCCTGATGTGCTGTTGAGCCAGCTCTGCAACAGGGCGATTCTACAGGGGTCTCTAGCGGACACTTTAAACATGCCCTGCAGCAGAGTTAAGTCACTGTAACTTTTTAGCCATTTTCAGTGAAGCTGCTCTGATTTTTCTCCCAGTAGCTGACCTGTTCCCGTGTTCCTCTGAACTCTGCTCCAGGCAGCTGAAGCCACCCTCTATCCGAGTGACCCAGGTTGGACACACAGTGCCAGGTACGACCCATGGGGAGTACAGGACTGACCTGCACGTTTGCATCTCAAACGAGGCTGCTGAGAACAGAAAGGACTAAAAATCACACTGCTCTGTGGCACAGAGCGAGCTGTGCAGCCACACGTGCTGGAACGGGGCCTCTGAGCACCTGCTGCCTTAGGCTAGACTGCTGAGACCTTACTGGATACAGCCATTGCCTGTCTTCCATCGTTCCAATTGTGGACTTGCTCCTATGTCTCCTACCACACACTTTTTCTTATGAGTTCGTTTACTCTTTGTGTGATGGTTTTGAAGCATTGTTCAGGTGGGTTTCTTTCTTTTGGGGGATTGCTTAATCCATCTCCCTCTGAAAGCGTCCCCCTTTGCACCACTGCCTTGGGGAGTATTTTACAGCACTGCAGGCAAACAGGGCATGCAAGGGCTGGGCACTGCAAAGATAAGCATCTGCTCATCCCCTTCTTGGTGGCTGTAAGTCACATCCCTCTTCCCTTCCTGGCTCATTGGCAGCCTCATCCTCCCTGTTGTTCTTCCTCCAAGCCAGGGGCCAGGGCAGCCTGGGGATCCCACCCACATCAGGACAGGATTTGGGGCTTCCACATCTAGACAAGAGGGGCCAAGGGTGTGGGAGTTAGTCTGGGACTGTCGCCACAGGAATTCCCTCAACTCACCTCTTTATTTCCACTTGTGCAGCACAAAGGGTTTTTTTACCAGGTGCAGAAGCACAGAAAGCCATCCAATGTGATGAATGCAGGTCCTGAGTGCAACTGGGTTGTAAGCAGGAGGAGCTACAGGGGAGCAGGAGCAGCGGGGATGGATGTGCCTCTCCTACCCGGTTTGCTCTGAACAGGCCGTTTCCCATCTCCAGCCATGTCCAAGTTTTTGGGTTTTTGGGGTTTTTTTTGGCCAGCTTTTCTGCTCCACTGCCTCCCTCTAGCGGCTGCGGCTGCTCAGGATTGCGTGGTCCTTGTCCTGGCAGCTCGGTGGACCCCAGCACGCAGCAAAGTCCTGGGCCATTGGCTTCTCCCAGCACCACTGGAACCGGTCCTGATGAGCACTGTCTTGGGGACATAGAAATAGTCTAATTTACAAAAAGGAGGGATTAAAATAATCAGGGAGGGTCCTCCAACCCTCCCCAGCAATAAAACTGAAACAGAGTCAATTGCTCCAGTATTCCAGGGGGCTTTGTGCTGCAGGCCAAGTGCCAGGCCAAGCACTGTGTCAGAGAGCTGAGCATCTGTTCCTCTTGTTCCTCTTGACAGATAAGATCAGTAGCATTTTTCACCCTTCTCTTCCTGCCTCTCTTAGCGTCCTTTGAACGTCCCTTTTTACCCTGGAGCCTGTTTCAGGAGATGCTTTATGGAGCCATTCATGGAGAAACACCCCAGTGCATCTACCTCTGCCTCCGTACTCACACCCTGGGATGTCCCCTTGCGCAGCTTCAACACAGGGAGGCATGAAGAACTGTGGAGTTCAGCACTGGCTCCATGTGCACACCTGCTTTCCTCCCCTTGAATTAGAGCAGCTGCTTTTCCTCCTGTAAGGAAAAGGATGGCTGCATTGGTGGCCTTCCCTTGGTGCAAAGATATGGAAGCTTTTCTCTGCATCTTCGCAACTTGCTTTACATGCAATACTTTGCCTTTAAATAAATGCAACGCCTGCTGGTAACCTTTGCTGGAAAATTGGGTCTCCTGGTTGAGGAGATGCTCTGTGAGACAGAGAGGGACATGTGCCCTTTGCAGAGCAGGGAATAAACCTCTCCTTGTGCCTGGCCCACATATCTCTGAGAGCTTCAGAGGTGTTAAAGTCCAATGAACTTGCCAGCAGAAATATGATTAATCACCCAACCAATTAATTGCTGTTTTTCCTCAGCCTGAGCCATTTTCCTCCCCCAGTGTCTTCCCCTTCTTCTGACTATTCTGGTCTCTCCTCTCCTCTTTCTCTACTCTACTTCCTTCCACCTCTCTCTTTCTGTTCCTCTAATTATCTTCTGTTTCCTCTCCTCTCTTTGCTGGCCGCTCTCCTTCTCTCTTTCATGCCATCCAAGTATACTACAGTCCTCCCCACTGCCATCATCACCCATCCTCATCCTTTCCCATTCCTCCTCTTCTGCTCCTTGGATGTTTTTTTTCTTTTTACCTTTGCTCTTTCTGGGTTTTC